CAGGCCCGAGTAGGTCTACACCAAAAAAATATATATATATATAATTATTTGATGGGGACCTAAATCATGTACTATTTTTCAAAAAATGTCAACTATTCGCATGAGTAGAAAGGCCATGAGTAAGAACTCACGTAGATCATCCAGGCTGCATAACGCTCTTTGAGGTTGTACAGCACAGCAGGCTCATGCAGGTGAGTCATCATGGCCATGTCCTCGATCTTGTCGTATTTGGGAGGGTTCATGGGGAAGACTTGGTCATCTTTCACAGTTACGGTCTGGTAGTCAAACAAGAGAGGTCAGGTCAAAACATGAGTGTCAGCTAACCAACCCAAAATGAGGCTCAGTCTAATCAGCTCCAGATGTTTTACTCACACTTCCGCCTTCAGTCTTGGCTGTCACCTTCCCTCCTTCCCTGCTCTGCACTGTGGCCTTCACAAAGGACTCCTTGGGGTCCGCCACAAAGACTGATGTCTTGGCATCAAAAGGCTTGTTCTGAGCTTCAATTCGCTCCTTTTCTGACTTTCGGAGGTAAGGAGCAGCCTCCCCAAAAACGGCCATCTCAGAGTCGGAACTCATGGCTGCAGGTTATTGATGGCAGCCCAGTGAAGGACCCTGCCTGGCAGAAGAAGAAAAGAAATTATAAAAATTCAGAAACTAGACCATTAGATTCACATTATTTTATTTTTTTTTTTAATTGACTGACCAGTTGAGTGCTGAGCATTGCATTGGTATGACCCTCTCCCTGGCTTGGGTTGAGGATGAAATGTCAGTCTCCTTGTTCTGTCCCAGTGCTGACAGATACTTAATCATGCATTTGAAAAGAGACTGTTGTTTCTGGCTCACCTTCCACAATCTCTTGGCTGCTTTCTCTGTTTCATTTGTTATGCATATTAATCTTTATTTGTTTAAAGCTGCCTATCATTGGCTTATACAGAACACAGAGCTAAGATCACAGCAGGATGTTCTCTAGTTCTTTCACTTCTAGTTTTTCTTTCCAGCTGGATTATAAGCATCTTGCAGGCAGGGAGCACTGTTCTTTTGATGGTATCCTTTACACCTCTTAGAACACATGCTGGATACAGACAAGGGCTCAAAGCCGATTTGATGAATGAAAAGAACAATAGGAATATGTTGCTACAGTATTGGGAACTACTTTGTACATGGTGAAAATCTTCTCATTATAAACTAGGGAGTTAGCAAGACTACCAACTATAAAGGAAAGCGGAAATGTGGGGAGCTTTGTTTTGCATTGCTTTGTTTTCTGTTATTTATCAATTTCTCTTGTCCTTGTATCATAATGTAGATAAACTTGGCTTCTTCACCAGTCTTTAGCATTTATCAAAGATTTATTTTAAAATGTTATTACCTATGTTTTCTTGCTTTATTTTCTCATAAAAATTTCACAAAAAATTTTCTTTTCAAGAACTATCTCTTGCTGCTTTAACTAGCATTCTTTAATGCTGTCAATAATCATCATATGTAATCTATTTTATAATAATAAAGATACTTTTTCCAGGAAAGCTCACTTGGGTAAACGTTTTCACATTTTTTCCATTTAAACTACAGTAACTCAGATAACAATTACAATGCTTTGTCTTGCTGAAAATGCTCACAATCACGTTTTGCATCACATATATACATATATATTTTTTTTAATTTCCATTTTACAGATTCTGAAACAACGTGCAGACTTAAGCAAGTTTTCCAAGACCACGATTCAGACCATTGTATTTATCCATTTAGACATTATCTCAAAGTTTTTTAAATTGTATAGTGCTGAGTATAAATAAGCTGTAGTACAGAAAATTTATATTTTCTCTGTAAATGACATTTTGAAATGTTGTATTGCATATTGTAATACAATCATTTAAAAGACAAGCTACAATGCTGGACATAGAAAAATTGTATATAAAACTCCTGAAGACTCTGAGAAAGCATTTTCATATATTGCAAAGGATATGAGCTAATGAGAACCAGTTTCTAAAATTGTCCACAGAGTTTTTTAAGAGAAGCACGATTTGTCATGAAATTGAACTGCTTTTATTTTTTTCACTTCCCCCACCCTGACCAGTCTCTGAACCACTGCAGAAGATTCCTTGCACTCTATGAGGAATGAGAAAAAAATCAGGCTCTTACCTTAAAGATGCAACCTTGAAGAAGAAGGTCAGAACTGTAAGAAAAAGAGCAAATTTCTTCTGATCAAATTCTAACACTTACCACTTACAGCATAATTCTTAACTGAGAACCAGGAAATGACTGGAAAGACTACAATATCTAATTAAAATTGCCACAGAGTAAGTTGGTGCTTCGCAGGCAGAGCTGCCAGGGGCAGTGAGAGCCAGGATGTGCGGCATGCACACGGGCAGCCAGACATCCCTTGGCGTCCTCCAGACAGAGCCCTGTCCTCACACACACTTACCTTGACGCTTTCTGAGGAGAGACAAGTCATGCTCATTCCAAGGGTACTTTTATAGGATCAAATATGGAAAACACGTAACCTCCTCCTCTTTCTTAAAACATTTTTGGCAAAACACGTTTTTGGCATTGAAGGTCTCCAAGCCTAATTCCCCTCATATTAAAGATGTTTGGATATAATTAGAAATATTTCCTCTCACATTGGGTTAAGTATATGAATCAATCTCCTATAAATAATTTGAGTTGTTGGCAATATGAAAGTGATCTGTCTGTGGAATAATGCAAGGTGTTGTTTCAAAAGCAGCTAAGTTCTGGAATCCCTGGACTTTGTTGCCTACTGCTCTTCTGTTTCACTCAGTCGCCTGTGTGAAGTCTTTTCGGTTGCCTGCACAGTTACAGACAGTATACTAGGGAGGAAAGTTTCTGCTTTTTAGCTGAGTGTTATAAAAAGACTGTTGGTTCCTCCCAAGAAGGGAGGATTTCTTTTTTTGCAGTTTATTGTGCTTTTTCAAGGATGCTTGGAAATTTAATTTTGAAACTTGTTTCATGAAGAGCAGCTAAAGATAGCGTCTTTTGTTTCCTTTAGTAGTTGCCTCTGATTCATTGTCAAATCATTCCACTTACACTTGAAACTTGCTCCCAAATTGTATTGCCTTGCCAGGCAGAGATGTCCTGCTTCTCTCATTTTTTTAAAATGCAAGTTGTTTGTGAAGTCCTGTTTCCTCTATGAAACTCAACATAAGAAAATATTAGAAACGGGGCATTTCTCTGTCTAAATATGCAGCATGTGTGACCTCTCCTCTATCAGCTACCCAAGATATATATTTAACATTTTGTTTACAAACATTACCTGAAGATTGTTTTCTGTCCTAATTTTTAACTTTAAAAAAGTGTGCTTTATTGTCTCTGTGACTTTGCATCTCTCTCTATCAGCACTATCTTACTGGGACTGGGACTGGGACCAAATTTGCTTGATATACCCTATTTTGCACCCACCTCTGTAGTATTGTATGTGTATTTTAATTGATTTAATGGAAATAGCTTGCCTTAGAAAGCAGACATCTGGAGATACTTTTTGTAATGGTCACACGGTTGTATTACCATAAGGCATCATCTAATCCATATCCCTTATTTTACTAATAAAGCAACTGAGATCCAAAGAATAGAAGAGAATCTCCACAAATCACACGACTTAGACTCTGGTCACCTGAATTGCGGTCTAGAGTGCTTGCTGGTGACACTCTTCTACCTGGAATAGATTAAAGCCATCAGGAAGGGTCTCGCAGGGGATTTGCATCCGAGACAGGCTTTCCTAGTCAACTGTTATCACGCTGTGTTACCACAGGGACATCATTTTCCTTTCTTACAAGTCCGTTTCTTTATTAGGCATCAGCAAAATGTGGGTAAGGATTCTCAGGAAGAGAGAACATTTTAATAATGCTCTCAGTAGGATTTGATGGGAATTTTAAGACAATCTTTTGTTCTACTTTGGATAAACTTTTCAATGAGTAGAAAGTGAGACATCATTTTTGGTCATTACTGCCAAGTCGTGAGGCACGTAAGCATTAACAAGTGATACGGGAACAGAGTGAAAGAGGGGCAGTGAGGGAGAAGAGTGATTCCACATGCTTCCTGAGGCCAGTGCAACAGTGCGCGTCCAACTTACCTCTTAAACTGCTTTCACATGGCTCATTTAGATCATTCTCACACGGTGCCATTTAAACCAAGATACTCTTGCCTTCTGTTCAGATGGGAAGTTACCATTTAGCTTTTCCTTTACGCTGTCCAGAAAGGTTGTATTTTTGGCTATGCATCTCGTATTTTAAAAATCTGATTTTCTAGGAAAACTTCTCTGAGTAATCCAGATTTCTACCACATCTAATTTTTGTACCAAACTTACGGTCATCATTATGTGTATTGAGTATATATTTGAATAATTACTTTGAGATACGTATTTTATTGATATTTTTAGTCTTTTATTTTGGCTTTTTATATGATTATACAGGAGGCCACAAAGCCTAGAAACATAGGCTAATAGCTTATTGATAATACATAAAATAATATTCTCTGTGTCTCCAGACTTGATATCCACCCTGTAGTTTTCACAGGGAGAAGAGTCACATCTCACTCATGTCAAACCCATTACCCAATGCACATACTGTGGGCATGTGGTATACTGGTATTAATAATGAAAATATTCATGGGCTAATTAAGAATACCTTGGATTTGTATTCTTGATAATAGTTACTAAGCAAAAAGATTTAATGATATGGTTCAGTCTGTATCCCCTATGTGAGAATATAGCTAGTGCCATCCTTTGCACAGAACTGGAAAATTAGGTTCATCGTAGGGGAAGCAGGATCTTTCTAAGATTTTACTATACCAAGATGTCAGGAAAGGTTAGAAAGAAAAATGGCTTCCAGATTTCTGTTTACCAGAACAAGCTTCCCTGATAAGTGACACCTTTATGATCTTGAAGTGTTGCTATAGACCTAAAATAAAAGTGAATACATAAGTACTTTTTGGTGGCAGGTTGAATGTGATTGATAGGAGAGAGAAAAGACAAGACCAGTCTAAGGATATTTTTTGCAAAGTACCCTATGCTTTTATTTCCTTTGCAGTAGGGTAGAATAGACAATAAATACAGAGGAAAATGACTAAAGATGTCACATTTTGTGCCTCTCTTCTGTCATTCCATGGCATCAGGACTTGATCACTCTTCACTTATGACTTTTGTATGAACCTCCCGGCTCTTCACCCGCAGTTTATTGACCTGGGACTCAGCAATGTCGGCCCGTTCCTCGGCCTCCTCCAGCTCATGCTGGAGCTTGCGGAATTTAGATAGATTTGTGTTGGATTGTTCCTCCTGAGAATGAAAATGGAATTGTAAGGAACCCATACTGGGCATCTTTCTAGACTCTTTAGACCAAAGGGAAAAATAGACTCGGTGTCTACAGATAAGCAAAATCTTACCATCTCCTGGATTTTGCTTATCATTGAAATTAATTTTATGATTTTGGGGGGCTTGGTGTCTCATAAATAATCACTTCTCTATTTTTGCAACAACACATATTAAAACATATATACCACATGTAGAGCAAGAAAAAAAAATACAGGCTCAGAGAAGAAAGCAAGAATATTAAAGCCATGGTTGTTAATGCTCACTATAAGATGATGACTATTCATTTGGGTTAGATATTCTTTATCATATTAAGGATGAATTCATTAATAGTTTTTAAAAATTGAAATAAATTTGAATTTTATCAGATATCATTTTGGCATATTTCAAAATGATCACTGTTTCCTCCTACATTGTAATGATTTATTGACAGATTCCCTGATATGAAATAATCCTTACATTGTAAGAATTAAGCCTATTTAATCACTGACAGACAATTCCTTTAATAAAGTAAGGGCTTACTGTTTAGTAATTTATCTTCGCTATAACTGTATTCATGAGTAAAACTGCCTTTGGTTCTCCTCCCACGCCGCCCCCCCGCCCTGTTCTCTCTTGGACAGGTTTTGGTATGAGGGTTATATGAGCTACTTAAGATGAATTGGACAGCTTTCCATCTTTTCCCATGTTCTTGAACAGCTTACATAGCTGGGGGATTATCTGTTCCTTGAAATTTTGAAAGATTTATCTGGACCCGGGTACATTTACAGAAGTAATTCTGAAATAACTTATTCAGCTAACTTGATACTTTATATTCCTCTAGAAAAATTATAAGTTTCTTCAGAATTTCAACTTTATTGACATACTTTGTATTTAAAAAAATCATCTATGTATATGGCTTATTCCCTTTCAGATTCCTAATTTTGTTTGTATTTTCTCTCTCTTTTTCCTTGATTAAACTAGTTATAAGTATATTTTATTAACCCCTCAAAAGTGATCAAATATTACTGAAATTATCAAATTAGAAAAGAATATATGCTAATTCATCAATTTCTACCTTTATTTTTAAAAGTACTTCTTAGTTCCATTGTTTTATGATTATTATTTATAATTTCTTGATTGGACTGTCAGTTTATTCATTTATTTTTATTTTTGATTCATAATCTAAGCATTTAAAGCAGTGAATTAGCCTCCAAGCACAACTTTGACTACATTCTATATGTTTGTAAAGGTAGCATCTTTTTGTAATTTTATTTATAATTAATAATTATTCAGTAATTATGCTTTTTATTTCCAATTACCCAAGAATTATTTAGGAAAGTTAGTTTTTCTTAATATTTAAGTACTTGGGAATTTTTGTTTATGTTTTGTCATCACTTTACCATTTTATGACACTTGTGGCCAGAGAATATGGCCTGTATTATTTCTGCTTTTAAATTTTTTGAGGTTTCTTTGTGGATTGAAAGTTTACTTTTAAAATCAAGCTATTGATATTACAAATGATAAGCAATAAATACAAAAATGTACAAAACTTTTTAAGTACACAGTCTTCTATAAAGCAAACCGCTTGTTTACTACAAAGGGTAGTAAATCTAATTATTAGTTTTTCTTAATCTGAGGGCTTCCCTCTGCCCTTCTATTGTAAGAATACTTACAGCCTCCTCAGCTTGCCTCTTGTAAGATTTCACCTTTGCCTGCAGTTTATCTACCAAATCCTGAAGCCTGAGAATATTTTTTCGATCTTCTTCCGTCTGAAAGATTATGAAAATTTCAGGGCCTTACTTACTAAAGCACATGACTATTGCATCATTGCATATGAGTATTTAATGTATATTTCAAACAGTGTTTAGGTGCTAAAAACTACCGTACCTGGTAAGTGAGCTCCTTTACTCGCCTCTCATGTTTACGCAGACCTTTGACAGCCTCAGCACTACGCTTTTGCTCGCTCTCAACCTCCCCTTCCAGCTCACGCACCTGCAAATAAGAAGGCTCTTAAGAACTTTGATCCAATAAGGCATTGGAAGGTGATGGAAATAGGCAGATATTGGGACACCCACTCTGGCCTCCAGTTTCTGGATCTGCTTCTTGCCGCCCTTCAGCGCCAGCTGCTCAGCCTCGTCCAGACGGTGCTGCAGGTCCTTCACCGTCTGCTCCATGTTCTTCTTCATCCGCTCCAGGTGGGCGCTGGTGTCCTGCTCCTTCTTCAGCTCCTCGGCCATCATGGCGGCCTACATAGCAAATAAATCAAGAACATCAAGAAAGCTATAGATGTCAGAAAATCTCACTGCTCAATTAATGGAGAAATGCGACTGTCACTCACATCAGTGATGGCCTTCTTGGCCTTCTCTTCTGCATTGCGGGCTTCCTGGACAATGTCCTCCATCTCTCCCTGAATTTGGGAAATGTCTGTCTCCAGCTTCTTCTTGGTGTTGATCAGGCTGGTGTTCTGTTTAAAAATAAGTTATACTTTTTAAAATTGTTTTACCAAAGTACTTAGTGGTAGCCATTTTTCGAAAAAAAATTCAGATAAAAATTTGCAAGTCAAAAAAATATGCCCTTCAATATTAAAGAATTTTGTTATGTGATACAATTAAATAAAATTGAAATGTTATAGAATATTGAGCATTCAGCATCTTCAAGTGCATAGTTCGTAAGTTGACCAAATTGCTCTCTAATTTCATAATTGCCATTTACCAATAAGACCATTCACAGGGGTAAAAA